AATAAAAAGTTGCTAATTAAAGACCCTCATATTAGCTTGACAAATCAGTTGTATTGTGCTTTGAAAACCTCTCAAGGTGAAGACAGAGAAGGTACTCTGAACAGGAAGGGTATGGTATCCAGGAAGGACAGCTTTTGTGCTTCCCTTCTGCTCTGTACATCCTGTGCCTTTTGCCTGTCAGCCCACTTTATGGTTTCATTAAAATATTCTTATTTTTCTGGCTGAGGTTGCTTTTTTATTTCTCTTCCCTTCCTTTTAATCATTAGGAGGAAAGGCAGTAATACTCAATTTCACTAAACCCTTTCTGTACTTCATTTTTATAACTTTGATACTAGTCTCCCAAATTATATATTTTCTTTGGTTCTCCACAGAGTAAAGAAACAGCTAATTTCAAGAAAATTGGATCATGGGTTACTTCTTCCTTGTTTCCTGGTGCATGACAGTTATCTCCCTGTGCACTTTCTGTTCACCTCTGGGTGATTTCTCCTATTGTCCTCGATGAAGATGGTTTTTAAGTTTAGCTTGTGGTTGCTTCACAATCCTGGTTTTTCAAAGTAACCAGAGAGTCTTTCTGTTTTCTTGAACACTATGCCTGTGGTTGAAGCAATGTGTCACCCACCTTCCTGCTGGTTGGTGGCTTGACTTGCTTATGTGGTGGTTTGTTCCTATGTCCATACACTCAGCACTAACTGAGCTTTCTAAGGTCAAAGGCCACATTCACCTCACATCCAGCCTGGATTCTCACACTCAAGGATTCCTGGGAGGCTCTGAAAAGATGAACGAAGGAGTGATCTCATCAGCTAGCTAGAGTTGGCTATACTCAGAATTCACAGAAGACATCTTGTGTGACTTCAAGGGCTCTAGGACATGTTTGCAAGAAACCAGTAGCTTTCTGGAGTTGATGGGTTTGTGCTTTGGGATGATGGGAATGGAAAGAGAATATGGGGCTTCAGTGAGTCTAAAGTATGAGTATTGCATTTAGAAAAACACCTGTTTCATCAAGTACTTTGTTAGTAAAGAAGAGGCATGGGTTTCCCTGGGTGGTCAGGAAGAGCAATTTTAAAGTGGGTCGAGGGCCATGATGGCATTGTTGGTATCACTGGCTTGAATGACACCCGTACACATGGACTTGAAGACAGTATGAGTGATGGGAGGCAGAGGGAACAGTGAGCTCACTAACATGGGGTTGAGGACTTGAAAGGACATTGCTCGAAGGAAGATACACAGTAGGTTTACAGTCACAGGAGGAGAAACTGAAGTGAAACAGGGCTTAACCCCATAGAATGGTTGTTACCACAAAAATGGAACATGAGCTATTGGTGAGAAAAAAAAAAAAAAACCAGACCCATGTGTGTGCTAGATGAAGGGTCAAGTGGTAAATTACTGTGGCAAAAGATCTGGTGATCCCTCAAAAAGTGAATGCAAAATAAATGTACAATGCAGAAATTTCACCTTCTTCATGCCCAAAACAGACGAAAGAGAGGCATGACATTTGCATGTCCCTGCCGTATCAACATTATTCTCTAGACCTACAGGGATGGAGCAAGCCTCATGCTCATTGACAATACATCACAGGTGGCCAGGCCACACAATGGAGTGCTAGTCGGCTTGAAAAGAGAGATGATCTGGTGCAAACTGTGGCAGGGTGAACCTCAAGAACATTTTGATAAATGAAATAAGGCAGTCACAGAAGGACTGATTACCCAAGCTCCCAGTCATCTGTATAGAGTGAATGTAGGAGAGCTGCCAGGGGCCAGGAGAGAGGGTGGTGGGATGTGGAAGTGGGAAGGTAGTGTGAAGTGGGCTCAGAGGTTTCTTTTGGGAAGACAAGGAGGGTTCTTCGATGTTGCATGGTAAACATGTGTTAACAGAGTGATGTGCAATGCTAAGAACCCCTACCCTGAAGGAATTCCTTTGGTAGGAATATTTTCTCTTAGTAAATCATCTTTTGGGTTGAAGGATTTTTGTTTGTTTTGTTTTTCTCCAAATAAATCTAGTTTTAAAGTTCAAAAATAAGTAAAAGAAATGGGACCATGCTCATTTCTTCTTTTTCTACGCCCTGTTGCTTGTGGGTTACTAGATGGGCAAGGTTACACAGAGGGAAAATAATTTATTTAGGGTGTTTTCTTTTTGATTCTTCATAATACTCTAAGGAGGTCAGTACTAGTTAAATTCCCATTTAATGGTTGGTGGACTGAGGCTGAAAATGGCAAGCCACAGTGCCGTGCCATAGAGCCGTGGTGCCAGACGGTATTTCACTGTTGACCCCACCTTCTCTCCTTCTACCCTGCCAGGCTGAATAGACTTTGCCAATTGCCTCCCCTCAACATGTCTTCTCTCTGATATGAGGGACACGAAAGTAGTTTTCTTTAATTTTAAGAGAGCCCAATAGCTATGGCTGCTTTCTCATTGCAAAGATGTGGGTTAACAGAAGCAGTCAATGCAGGCTGGATATCCCTTGCTGGGTAACTGGAATCTAAGGGAGGAGGACTGTGCTGGCTAGCTTTATGTCAACTTGATACAAGCTGGAGTCACTGGAGAGGAGGGAGCCTCAGTTGAGAAAATGCCTCAATAATATGGCTATAGGCAGACCTGTAGGGCATTTTCTTAATTAGAGATTGAATGTGAGAGGGCCAAGCCCAATTGTGGGTGGGGCTACCCCTTGGCAGGTGATCCTGGTCTCTATAAGAAAGCAGGCTGTACAAACCATGGGGAACAAGCCAGTAAGCAGCACTCCTCCATGGCTTCTGTATCAGTTCCTGTCCAGTTTGAGTTCCTGTCCTGACTTTCTTCAGTGATGAACAGTGATATGGAAACATAAACAAAATAAGCCCTTTCCTCTCCAAGTTGCTTTGGTCATGGTGTTTCATCACAGCAATAGTAAGCCTAAGACAAGAGCCAAAGGTTGGCACTTCACCTTAGCCTCTTAGAAACATGTCTTCCTGTCACACTGGCAAGGGGAGAGTGAACCCTGAGTCCAGTGCCTCAGCATGTGCTTGGAGGCCCCAATACAATGACACCATCGCTGAGCTCTCACACAGTGCCCAGCTTCTGTCTTTATTGCTGCTTCTGGAAAGTGCTTTGGGAGGGTGGTGAGAGCCAGGTGTGCTGAGAGCCTTCTCTCTTTTTCTTTGACACAGAATAACATATTTCAGGAGATGTGATTGGCCTTGTATCTCATTGTTCACCTCCCTGGGCCTTCTTGGCACTGTCCTGTTATGTTCTGGTCTGTCTACTATGCTGTTGGTGTTATGGCTAGGAGGCACAGAGTTTTGCCTCCATGCTTTCCTCTAGCAGTTCCATCTGCAAAGTTTGTTATTAATAATTGTGCATGTCTGTATGTGGGTTTGTGCATGTGAGTGCAGGTATCTGGGGAGTTCAGAGAGGATGTAGGATTCCCTGGAGTTCAAATTATAGGCAGATGTGAGTCACTAGACATGGGTGCTGGGAGCAGAACTCAGGTCCTCTGGAAGACAGCTCAGGCCCTTAACTTCTGAGCCATCTCTCCACCCTGCAATATTTGCAAAGTCTGAATGTGAAGGACTGTATAATAAATGTTTCTGACTTGGCCCGACAAAGGAAGTCTCTGCTGCAGAGCCTTCTCTGTTTCTATTTTGTTTGACTTATTCCCTATAAGAAATACAGTGAAGTTCTTTGCTCCCAGCCCTGCAGAATCAGGTGATGACTAGATTTGCCCTAAGGGCCCCTGTTGTCAACATCTCCTTGAGGACATTGCTGTAGAAGGCTCTGTCATTTTAGTCAGGAGTTAGCTGGGCCAAGATTTCTTGTTACCATGGCTACTTCCTCTGTCTCTCAGGCTACAGATCCCTGTAGAGTTGCCTTGTACTGAGTGGGGAACGTGGGAGGCACCAGCTTTTCTATAATGCATGTCCTCTGTCCTGAGTGTTTCTCTGCCTGTGTGCAGGGCCATGGATGAGGCTGCTCACAGCTGTTCCTCCTGAGGTATCATGCAGGACTTGGAGGCTGGGGTCACTGTCCTGTAGAATTTACCTCTTAATGCTCATTCTTCTTCAAAATAAAAGGTAGATGCAGCACATCTCGTTCTTGCCTGTGGCTTCTTAGAATTCTCTCCTCTTGCACCATACCACTACCAGGTGCTATGGCAGTTGCTGGGCATGAGTCTTCTCCATGATACAGCAACACTGTACTCCAAAACAATGGTGGGGGCCTACACTCAGCATTCCTAAGAATGGAGCTCTGCCTCTTTGTACCTTGTTAGTGTTCCTGTATCTTGCCCCTAACCCTATCCCCATGCTCTTGGTCTGGGCTGCTCTCCCCAAAAATGCAAAATTCTCATCTCAAAGGAATGGATGGTCAGATATGGCCAGACTGGACTGGGGCTGGAGTTTCAATGTGTGGTGGCTTAATGCCTCTTACGTTCTTCTATCATTAAGGGAGGCAGGATCTGCCCTCCTACCCTCCCATCATCCTTTGTAAGTGCACTCAGTAGGGGAAGTCACATGAAGAGCCTAGGAGGGGAGATCGTGGCCCCCATTGGTACCCTACTTAACTTTAGTCACCTACCATTTTTGTACTGATGCCTTCATGACCATTTGGATGGTTCCTGCCACCTCTTCATTCTGTGTCCTGTTTCTGGCATGGTGGCACTGCCCTTGTCTTTCTAGAAGGGCCTCTGCTGTACTTCTCTCTGAGCACTCAGGTTTCTAGTCCCCATCAGCCTGGGAGTAGAATTACCTCCTGAGTGGAGGCTCAGCCATCTGCTGATGCACAGTTAGTTTGTTTTCTCTGTCAAATGTGTTATCTAAACAGAGTGCATATTGGAGCCCCTTCTACCTGTATGTATGACTGAGGACTGTTTAGACTCTTGATACCACAGGAAAAATTGTGCCAGATGCACAGTATGACCTGGGGTAGTTGTTTGATTCTCTCATGTGTGAGGGTCTTTAGACTCTCTGCCACCCAGTATGGAACCTCATCTACGTGTGGGTACTGATTTGTTATTTATCTTAACTTTTTAGACTCTGGAAGCTGTCCTGAACTTCAAGTACTCTGGAGGCCCAGGCCACGTGGAAGGGTATTACAGGAATCTATCTCTGGGACTGCATGTGGAAGTTGAGCCATCTGTGTTTTTTACTAGAGTCAGCACACTTCCTGCAACCAGGTAACCAGGCTGGGGGTGGGGTGGAAGTGTCTCCTGATACCGGTTATCCAATCTCACTGTCCAGCAAAGCCATGCCTTTGGTGGGACAGTGTTCCTTGGTGTTAGTGGGCAGCTGGAATGCTGTGTGAGTAGTCTCTGTGGTGGGGCCCTCCCAGGGCAGGTGCTTTGCTCTGCTGACTGCCCCTTCTTCAACAGGCTCTGCATAGTGCTTTGCTTATATTTGGTACTCCCTGAGGAGCTCAGCTTTGTTCTCTGTGATGCCCCTGTGGGTAGTGAGATGTAAGTTTTGTCTCAGAGATCACTGTCCAGCACCACAAGAACCTTCTAGCTCGGCACGATGCCAGCTCATTCTGCACAGGAAATCATTTTCCTTAAGGTAGCCCTCTCTGCCACCGACTCCTTGAGGCCCAATCTTCATCCTAGGAAAGGGAGGGGTAGGTTTGTCTACTTCAAGGTCACATGTGGCAAGAAGGGCCATTGGTTTTCTCTTAGGTGACAGCTCCTCGTCTCATTCTCATACTGTAGAAGTGGCATCAATGCTTCCTAGGAGTCCTTGGGATAGTTTATATGTGCTGCCCCTGGAGAATGGGGTCCCACCTCCACTGAGCTCCACTAAATTGGTGGGCTAGGCCATCACTGTATTTGCTTAATTGAGCAAAACAGAAGCCTTGACTGATGTTCACCTGTCTGTATTTGGACCTTGCAAATAGCACCCTAGCATGTGCTATTCCTCACATGTATTCTATAGGGTAAAACAGAGGTATGGTGTCCATCATAATGCTGACAGAAAAATCCATTAAATGGATCTAGCTCACTTACCCCCTGGCCACTGGAGAAAGACTTCAGTAAGAATTAATGATTTATCTGGGCCTTTTAGCATCCCTTTTCATCATCTATCACTTTTTTGGTCCTCACTGCCAAGGTGGCTTCTACTTGAATTTGTATAAAGCTTTAAAGCTCCTGCCTCAGGGCAGATTTGGCCAGCGTGCTGACAGCCAATGTTAGGGTGTGCCAAGCCTTCTGCACATGGCTCTGCTGTATCATGTCTGCCTTTCTTGCCTCTTCTCTTTTCCCACTGCCACTGCCCACCAAGACTTCTCAGATGTGGCACAGGTTGCCATGAATTCTCCTTTGCACCTCATTACGACATCATGGCCCCTGTAAATGGTAGCTTAAGGTTGAAGTGAACTTGGAAGCATTGGCTATTGGCTTTTGTCTTTATTGCCAATCTGTAGCCTTCATCTTCTCTTCTTTTGATCTGTACATTTCTCTTTCCATCTCTTGGATTTTAGAGTTCACTTCTGATTTTTCTTTTTAATTATTCCCAAGTAAAACTGATCTCAAAATCCTGGGATGAAATTTTACTGTCTCCAGGTCACTCGTCACTGTGTATCCTTTTCCCCATGGAGGGTTGACCAGTTGGCTACAGTCCTGCATGTCGAGGTTACCCAGCTTGCAGACAGATCCAGTGCTGAAAAGACTGCATTCAGAGTCCCTCCCACTCTGTTTGGGATAGACCTTCCTCTCCCCTGATTCTCCCCATGTTCTTACCAAGTTCCAGTACAGCCACTCACACCTGAGCTGTGTTAAAGGTGGTTCCTTCCTGCCAGTTTCAACTTCATCTTTTCTCTAAAAGTGTCCCTTTTATTAAACTACCATTCTTTTATTTAATCCTTTGGAAAACATCTGCTTGCCTTTGAGATCTGTTTGAATTTCTATAGATTTTCCTAGCAGGAGTGTGTGTGTGTGTGTGTGTGTGTGTGTGTGTGTGTGTGTGTGTGTGTGTGTGTTTCTGTGAGTCCTATGCTTTCTCACACTGGGAGCACTTCTGCCCCATTTCCAGTCAGCACCCCCAAATACCTGGTGCATCCTTTTTGGAGAAAGGGTAGATAGAGCAACTTCTTGCTCTTCACCAGCCTATAGGAGCTTGTCACATAGAATTAGCATGGAATGGGAACATGAATGTACACACAGGAGTGATAGAACAATGGAATATTAGATAAATGAATAAATAGAAAAGACCTGAGTTCCATCTGGGCTGGGAGTGGGGAGGAGAAATGAACAAGGAATGGCTGGCTGAAAAGGTTACAAGCAGTACAGACTCATATGTCTGTGTCCAAAGTTGCCCCAGTGCAGACAGATTCAGCACTGCATTTTAAAGTGGAGCTTGTCAGATTTCATATGGCAGCAAGACACTAATTGTATGCCTCTTACAAGAAACCAGCATCAAATATGCACAGTATATGTGAACACTGATATTTAGAAGGTTGGTATGGAGTTATTAATATTAAACACATGGGCTTTCAAGAAAAAAAGAAGGGAAGTTTTGTAATGATTGAAGAATTAAGCATGGGGATTGAAGAAATGAGTGTGGTCAAGAGTTTCTGTCTTGCCCCAGTCCCACAGCCGTTTAGTCCCCAATAAATGCACAGAGCCTTATGTTAATTATAAACTGTTTGGCCAATGGCTCAGGCTTCTTACTAGCTAGCTCTCTCTTAATTATTAAGCCATTTCTATTAGTTTATGTATTTCCACATGGTCTTGGCTTACCTGAGAATGTCCAGGCATCCTGTCTTCTTGGTAGCTACATGGCATCTGCCTGGTAACTCACTCTTTGTGTTCCTCTTCCCAGAATCCTCCTAGTCTGGTAGCCCTATCTATACTTCCTGCCTGGCTACATCCTACTTGTCCATTGGCTGAAACAGCTTTATTCATCAACCAATAAGAGAAACATATTCACAGTATTCAGAGGGATATCTCCCATCAAATTGAGTTCTCAATAGCATATTACAGTCCTAAATATAAATACACTTAAAAACATAATTTCAAAATAAAACTAGCCCACAAAGGGGAGAAACAGATAACCCCACAGTATATCTGACTGTTTGAATATTACTCCCTGAGAATCTGATATGACAACTATACAAAACAAAAGAAAACCCACAGGAAAACTGTAACCAACCTAGACATTTTTGTTAACCACCTCCACCTTTGTATTTATGGAAGAATGAATGCTTAAGCTAGAAATGAATGGCTTGACATCAATGGTGTGGCTTCTGAACTACACAAAGAAGAGTTCAATATTCCTAGAAGAAATTACAGAGAAGAAATAATGTCAGTAAGACGGGGTGTGAAAGAGAATTTTTGGAGTCAATGGAAACAAAAGCTGATACTTTAAAAAGATTAATAATAAAATTAATCATAACTAGAGCAATGAGGGGAAAGAGAGAAAACACAAATTGCTAGTAGAAGGAGTGAAAGATGCAGCCTTCTATGAGTTTTATATATGCCATATTTGGAAATGTAAGAGGATACTGTAGAGAGCCATGTCCCAGTGAGTTTGACAACTTAGGCAAAATAGATCAATGTTTTGAAGGAGGAAAGTGGACAAAGTACTAAAACGGACACAAGAAGAAATAGAGCATGTGAATGGACATCCTCAATTAGAAAGTTCCCACGAAGCATTCTGTGGGCCCCAGATGACCTTCTCCAGTAAGTAGTTCAAGCTTTTAAGGAAGCAAGCACAGCACCTTTGAGGCATCTCATTTAGGAAACAGGCAGGGAGGAGTCATTCCTGACCTCACCCTCATCATACTGCTGCTTTCCTGAGACACCAAATCACAGGAAGAAAAAGCTTTAGGCCAGTAGCTCAAGTATTCAAAGGCTGAGCTTCGAAACAAAACACAAGACAATTTCAGCCACATGGAAGGTAAAATAGAGTACTAAAAAATTCCAATTTATCCTTGAAATACATGTAGTTTTAAGCACTGAAAAATAAACTGTTGGGATTTATCTCATTAGCAAACAAAGGTGAGAACCGTGACAGTTGATGAAGGGTATCCTTGGACAGAATTCAACATGAGCGTACGGTTACTGTAGCTCCAGTGCAAGTCTGAGCAATTTCTTCGTGAACATGAGCCCAGCAAACCTGTCTGCTGTGAGCACTGTGTTATATTCCTTGTAATACTAGAGCAATAAGGTTTAAAGAATAATTAAAGACCTAAAAATTAGAAATGGAGAGTAAAAAAAAAAAAAAACTTGTCATCTGCAGTTCTGCTGTTGTACAGTATACGTGGCCATGTATATTCCTGTTTATTAGCAACAATTAGAAATTTGAAGATAGAATTGAAAATAATGCTTCAATAAAATCAAAACACAAATCACAGGGATAAAGTTGTAAAAATGTCATTTCTAGAAGGTGTCAAAACACAGGGAAAAGACTTGAATTCCTGGCAAAAGTTGGGAGCTAACCGGTTACTCAGAAGATCTGGTTCTTGTTAAGATTCCAGTTTCCTCTGCATTGACTATAAACTCAAGGAAATCCCAATCAAATCCCAATAGTATTTATTAATAGTGTTATTTTAAACCAGAAACTGGCAAGTTGTTGTTAAAAATATCTTGAGGCAGAGGCAGGCCAGCCTGGTCTACAAAGTGAGTTTCAGGATGGGCTCCAAAGCTACAGAGAAACCCTGTCTCCAAAAACCAAAAGCAAAAAATCCTTGAAATGGAGCAGGAAACATTATGTAACCTAACAGAGCAAAGTTGGAGGAATTAGGTGTGTGATTTCAAGACCTATGTAAAGATGTAACCAAGAGAGTGTTGTTGGCACTAACCTGGACTAGAGGTCAGTATACCCAAGTTGACGGTTCATAAATAGACTTAGCAGTTTTATGGAGAACTGCAGAGACTTTTCTTTCCCCCAAAGGAGACATAGCAAGGCAGCTTCCTGATTTGGGGCCAGAGATTTCTTAGATCTGCTTGGATTGCTAACTATAAATTAAAATGTTGATAAATAATTTATTTCATGAAAATTGAAACCCAGTGAGCTGCCAGTTTCATTTCTGCATGTTTATTTTAGCTAAAAAAATATATGTATCTACGAAAAAGACTCATGTAAGAATTTATATAATAGCTTTACTTTCTATAACTCCAGTGTGGAGATGACTCTGAATACCTGTCAGCAGAAGAATGGGTGAGCCATCTTTGATACAGTCCCACAG